GCAGGAGGGGAAGGCCCTCTATGAGGTGGATTGATTCAGTGACTGGGTTAATCGGGTTGGGAGTGTCAGAGACAGTGCCATTGGCACAGGACAGAGCAGAGTTTAAGGCTTGTATATAGGGTCACTATGAGTCACAAGTGACTCAATGTCAACAACAACAACAACAATTTAGTGAATTACGTTGATTGTTTCTCTTATCTCGAACCATCCCTACATACCTGTTAAGAATCCCATTTGGTCATAGTGAATTATTTTTTTGATGTGCTTTTTGTTTTTTTGGCTAGGATTTTGTTAAGGATTTTTGCGTCTATGTTCGTGAGAGATATTGGTCAGTAGTTTTCTTTCTTGGTAATATCTTTGCCTGGAGTTAGGTTGTGCTTGCTTCATAAAATGACTCTCTGGAAGTGTTCCTTCTTTTTCAATTTTATTGAACTAGTTTAAATAGAATAGGTGCCAAATCTCTGAATGTTTGGTAGAATTCAGCTTTGAAGCCATGTGGTCCAGGGTTTTGCTTATAGGGAAGTCTTTTTATGACCTTTTCAATTTCTTCTCTTGTGATGGGTCTATTCAAGTGTTCTGTAATTGTCCTTGTCAATCTGGGCAGAGGATGTTTTTCAAGGAATTTGTCCATTTCCTCTAGATTTTCAAATTTATCAGAATATAGCTTTTAATATTATTCTGATATTATCGATTTCATTTCCTCTGGTCCTATTGTGATGTCACCTCTGTCATTTCTTAATTGAATTATTTGTGTATTTTTTTGCCTTTTTAAAATTTGCCAGTGATTTGTCAATTTTATTGACCCTTTCAAAAAAATCAACTCCTGGTCTTATTGATGGATTCAGCTGTTTTTCTGTTTTCTACCTCATTGATTTCAGCTCTTATCCTTAATTTTTTTTTTCTTCTAGAGGTTGTAGAATTAGATTGCTGCTCTTTTTCTATTTGCTAAAGGTGTTGAGTATATCATTGATTCTTCTTCTTTCTTCCTATTTTATGTTTGTACTTATTGCTATGAACTCCTCCCTGAGTATTACCTTTGCTGTGTCCCAGGGGTTTTGGTAAGTTGTATTTTCATCATGATTTGTTTCAAGGAACTTTTTAAAATGAAGTAATACACACAGAGATGCTAAAGTAAAGTTTATGGACCATAGTAACCAGAAACAACAGAAAAAGAAATGCAGAAAAATGGCAAAAATAAAACGGCCTGACAATAATCACAGTTAATGTGAATGGTCTTAATGCATCGATTAAGAGAAAAAGAGTAGGAGAATGGATTTTTAAAAAAACCAAAAACCAAAGCCCAACAATATGTTGCCTACAAGAGACACATCTAAAAAAAGAAGAGAGAGACTAAAAACTCAAATGCTGGGAAAAAATATAACAAGCAAATGGCAACCTCAAAAAAGCAGGAGTGGCAATACTAATCTCTGATAAAATTGATTTCAGATTGAAAACCACCATCGAAGATAAAGAAAAGCACTACATACTAATTAAATTCACAATAGATCAAGAAGACATAACCTTGGTCAACATTTATGCACCAAATGATAGAGACTTGCAAAATACATAAAACAACAGTTAATTGAATTGATGAGAAACAGATAGCACCACAATAGTGGTAGGAGATTTCAACACACCACTAACACCAAAGGATAGGTCAACTCAGAAGAAACTCAACAAAGATGCTGATACAATCAGCCATCTCAAACTTGTGGATGTATTCAGAGTACTGCACCCAATTAAAACTCAATTGACTTTCTCCTCAAGTGCACAAGGTACGCTCTCCAGAATCAATCATATATTAGAACACAAAACAAGACTTGACAAATTAAAAAGCATTGAAATAAAACAAAGTATTTTCTCAGACCACAATGCCATAAAACTAGAAATTAACCACAGAAGAGTAAAGCTTACAAAACCACTCATGTGGAAACTAAATAATTCTCTGCTGGAACATGCTTGAGTTATAAAAGAAATAAAGAATGAAATAAAAAAATATCTTTTTGAAGATATTTTTCTCAGTCATATGTAAACTGTATCCCAAGCTGTTTGTTTACCAGTAACTGTAACATCTAACCCAAGTATAAAATCCAATAAGCACTCTTAGATGAAGAAGCAGTTTTTGAGATGATTCTCACTGCTCTCGCAGATCTGGAATAAAGTGTCTTGGATATTGCAATCCAACTGTCTTATTGACAAATGAGTACAAAAAGAACCCCTTGCATTCAGTAGCAAGTTGAGCATTCTTCTACAGACTCAGAGAAGTTAGATTTAGTCAGCTGACTCTAAAGTGAGATTTTCCCGTCAATATATTCTGTCTTTAATCTAGTTAGTATGTTGTTGTTGTTTTTAAGTGCCATTGAGTTGTAGATGACTCATAATGACCCTATGAGCTAAAGACTTGAATACTTGTATAACTTTCATCTTTAGTCCACATGCATAGTTTCTGGGGGAGGCAAGCTTTTTTGGAGGTGGATGCCACTCCTGTTTCCAAGCTTGTTTTAACTGGGAAGCTCCAACAAGGTCACCAGAACCAGAAAACAAACTCTTGTAGAAGGCTGATTCAGAAGATTTCCAACCTGAATTCCAGCCCTCATACTGCTGACCAAATGAATTTTTAAATTAGAGGCCGAATAAAATCAACTCATACCCAATTGTCAGTAAACATTCTATCCTAATCCTCACCAGAACCAGAAAACAAACTTCTGTAGAATCTGGCTGATCCAGGCGACTTCCAGCTTGGATTCCAGCCCCATCCTGCTGACCAAATGCGTTTCTAAATAGGAGGCTGAATAAAATCAACTCATATAATCTAGTATAGTCATTAAAATATGCAGAAGCTTTTAAGCTTAGCCTGTATGGAATAAAACTACCAGGTAGCCTATGATTATTTCATGCTTCATTTCTGGTTTTCAGATAGTTCAGGCTTTCTAACTTCCTGGCAAGTTAACTCCTTGTTGAGCATGACAGAAACTGCATAATAAAACCTATCAGAATGGTCACATTTCACAACCTTGATTAATTTGTTTTGCCTAACAAGAAAGTGGATTGACTCTTGACAGGTTCTTCCCTTCTAGGATGGGAGAGGTTCCTAGTTTTATTCCTTAAGGAGTTGACTCTTTGTCACATCAGCAAACTCTTGCCTATCCCTTTACTTCAAATTTTCACTTCCTGATCAGGTTCCCTTTTGTAAAGTCAGTCATTTCAAAAGGACAGGGCAAAAAAATGAGGTCTAACTGGCTTTAGTTATCATCTGTGAACTTTCTTAAATCAGGTGTCTATAGGCATTTAAAAGGGGAAATAAACTTATCTGCTGGAAGTATATGCTTGGGACGTGTACAGGAAGAAACTATTTTCTGTCTATGTAAGCACTTCAGAACCATTAATGTGGTAATATTAGTGACTACTTTCCAAGATACAAGTAAAAATAACTAAGACATTAAAAATTAATTTGACCACAGAATCTTCCCACCCCCTCCCAAGAAGATCCTCAAGAAATTAGTGTTCCAGGAACATATTTGAAGAAATCGTAGTAAAATATAGTTTGAGAGTTAAATCTAGATGTGAATTGTAACACATTTTACTTATTACATTTCTTTTAATCCCTTTTCACATCTATATAGGGGAATTTACCTACTTTGTAGGGATATAGAAATTAAAATTGATAATACATATAAGAGACATAAATAAGGGAATTTGGTAAAGGATCTTTTAGAGAAGTAATAATTATATAATTAACTAAGGATTAAGGGAAAATGTGGAGTTATATGTAAGTGGTTCTAATAATTTACTTTTGTATAAGATGGCTGTTGTTGTTGTTATGTGCCATTGAATTGTCTGAGACTCATAGCAACTCTATGTTCAACAGCCCTAAAACCTGCTGTATCCTGTGCCAATCTTATTGTCTCTGACATATCTACCCCTATTACTCAAGTCACTGAATCAATCCATCTCATCATCTTCCTCTCCTGCGCTGTCCCTCCATCCTCCCAAGCATAACATCCCTCTCCAAGGATAGGTCCCTCCTTATAATATGTCCAAAGTATGTCAGATGAAGCTTCAGAATCCTTACCTCCAAGAAGCAGTTTGGTTTCATTTTCTCCAGGATGAGCCTGTTTGTTCTCTTAGCAGTCCATGATATATTCAATACTCCTCGCCAACACCACAGCTCAAAGGCATCCAGCTCTCTGATGCTTATTAAGTGATTGTAAAGACCATGACCTGTATCAGGCACACTTAGTCTCCAGACTGACATCATTGCTCTTCAGTACCTTGAAGAAGTCTCTGACAGCAGACTTTCCCAATGGAATGCATCTTTTAATTTTCTGGCTGCTGATGCCAAGAGTGTTGATTGTGGACCCAAGCAAACTAATGCTGTGAACAATCTCAAGCTCTTCACTATCCATAATGATACTGATAATTGTCCCATTGGTGGCTTCAGATTTAGTATACCATTCAAATGTTCACTACTGGAAATCCTAAAGTCTTGCCAAGTCGATACATACAGACATTATTGATGTTTGCTTTAATTTTAGAAAGGTAATACATGAATTAGTGTTTTAGGACAGTATCACCACCCAGAAATGTATTTATTGCTAAACCCTCAGTCTTTTTACCTGCTTGGTTACAGATTGTAGGTCAGAACAAAACTCTGTTAGTGATAAACATTGGCCTTATTTTGATACAAGTAAAACTTCAATTGCTACAGGTAAAAAACTTCTTGGATTTGGATGGCTAATTTCAGATATGCTTTGATCAGAGAATATGAAATCCTAGAAAAGTAAATTTATTTCTTTTTGTCTTGAAAGATTTCTTCCAGCTAAATTCTAGCTGTTATTTGAAGTAGTACTTCACATCATGTGTAAAGACATCTACTTACCATTAAGTTCAACCAAAGAAGCATTTATTGGCAGGGATCTTGTGTTTCTTATCTTCTGACTTAAGATTCTATGGATTTTCTTCTCTCTTACTTCTCTTGGCTCGGTAGAGGGGAACTGGAACACCATAATGATATCTGCTTTTACTCCATCTTCCTCTGGACTAAGATGCATAAGAGAAAGTTGTATGCCTAATTTAAAAGTATATTCTTTATTCTCCAAACTCACTCATGTATATCCTTCCCCTGAATTGTCTTAGTTTCTAAGAATGTCAAGCACTAATCATGGTACATTGACATCCTTCTAAATGTCCTTCTCACTGAAGGTCATTTCTCACTGTTTTCTACTTTTCCTTATGTTTTATGTGCACTTTTATAATTTTCTCTAGTAAATCAGTGGGATTAACATTTTTTATTAGATAAGTTCCTCCTGTATCCGCATGAAAATTTAAATATTGGGTATGGTTACAAATCCAATGAAGTTCCTGCTTTATTATAATATGGCTGAAAAGCTAACCCAAATTAAAATTTGAAAATATAGGAATGATATTTAAAAATATCTGACATATTTATCTTCTTTTTCTCCTAAAATTTCAGATATTATTCAATTCATATTTAAAAATCCTTCTGAAGTCATTGATTAATCAGTAAAAGTATATGAAACTTGTATGAACACTGCCAATTGGTCTACTGGTGGGAAGAAAATTGTCTTTCTGGTAAGCCCATTATAAGCTTTTTTTTTAGGACTTGATTTATATAAATGATATATTACTGGCTTTACCCAAGGCTGCAAGTTTTGTTAGGCATTTGATCTTATACTGAGGCAGTGGACATTGGAATCTTGATTCTTTTACCTGGGACGGTGTCACATTAGGTAGCTTTGATCACTAAGTCTTAGTTTTCTTATTTATGAACTAGTTGTTATTGTTGGTTTTAGACCCCATAAACAAAAGATCTGAACTCTGTTCTACAACTATCATCATTTTTCTAATGTTCATAGTGTTTCCAAAGGCTGGTTGTTTAGAAAGTGGATGTCAGTTCTGCTTCCAAGCCTGTCTTAATCAGAGATCTCTACCAAACTCTGCACTGTGGGTAACCATTATGGCATTTGACATATAAGTGGCACAGCGTTCAGTATCACAGCAACCCTAAGTTACCTCAGTACAGCAAACTTACAGACAAGTGCTAGTAGTTAGCCTTATATTTCAAGACCATTATAGAGATTATGTTTATAAAAACGCTAAGCAAAAGCCCAGCCTACACAGCCATGCTATAAATGCCAGTCTCTGACTCCTTTGTTCTTTGTCCCCCAGACTTGTGTCTCTACATTTGCCCAGATATACATACGTCAATCTGACCACTTGGTTCTTGATATAATGCTTGCTCAAGGCTGAATCAATAAATATCTCATCTACCTGTAATTGCAAGAGAGAACCTATATGTTAATAATATATTTTCAAATAGCTATATGATCCTGATTAAATATTAATGGAAGAGAAAACATTAGTATGAGGAAAAATAATTATTCAAAACAAAAATTTTCAACCTCAAACTGCAAGAATTTCTTGCAAATTACAGATGCTTGAGCCTTCCTTTAGAGTTTTGGTTTCAATTGTTCTTAAAGGGCTCTGGATATCCATATTTTTAAACATCTCCAAAAGAGATCCTTATGTGCTAAAAGTATATATCTAGAGGGGGGAAAATTTAGCAGTTACTTTACTGGAGGAAAAGCAGAAAGATACAGAGCAGAGATGAGTTTCAAAAGAAGGAAACCCTGTGAGGTGATGGAAAGAGCTGTGATTCATAAAACTCGCAGCTCTGGGTTTGAATTGGATCTTTTGGCTCAAGAACTTACTGACTTTAGAAAAAGAGCTGAGCCTCAGTTTCATAACTTGTAAAACAAAAAAATATCTATATGCCGCTGATGAGTTGAGCCTAAGTTTCTTAATTTATAAAACAAAATACTGATATGGGTGGCTGTTATGTACCACTGAGTTGAGCTGACCGTGAAGTGAGTTTACAGGGGCAGTAAATGCAATGGGAAGAGATTGCTCATCTTTTTTTCCCACGGAGCAGCTGGTGGATTTGCACTACTTTTGAGTTATCAGCACACCTTCTTGCCCCTAGGCCAGAATTCGCTAGCAGATTAAATGCAAAGAAAACAAAATACTACCAGTTTTGGGGTTCTTTTTATTAATTTCAATGAACATTTACAAAGATTTTGGATTTCCACTCATTCACTGTTGCACTTTTCTCCCTGCCTACCCCACCCCTCACCCCCAGTTCACTCTTCTCCTTGAAAAGCGAAAGAAAAACTGCTTCATTGGTGTACAATTCCCCCGCACCTCCCTACCCCCATCCCAAGTATACTCCACTCTGCAACCCTCATTCTGGACACTTATGATAATCATAAAGCCTGAAAATATACTACTTTTTAAACTGTTCTCCCCCCCCGTCGGCTTCAATGTAGTATAAATAATTTATCCAGTTTTTCTCCGTTTTACTCCCACCCTGGTGTCAGCCTCATTCTACAACAGTGGCACCATACAGTATTTGTCCTTTTGTGACTGAGATATTTCATT